TAATCAGTAGACCACTTGAGATTGCGCTCTGGTCTAGATAACTGCTAGCTATAAAAAGAGGAGCGTTTGCCACATTCGACATCAGTTTCTGAAACAACAATCATGAAGTTCTTCATCGTTCTGCTTGCTCTGGCTTTCGCCGCCCCCGCTCTGGGTCGCACCATGGACCGTTGCTCCTTGGCCCGCGAGATGTCCAACTTGGGCGTTCCCCGTGACCAGCTGAACAAGTGGACTTGCATTGCCGAGCACGAGAGCTCGTACCGCACCGGAGTGGTTGGTCCCGAAAACTCCAATGGCTCCAACGACTACGGCATCTTCCAGATCAACAACTACTACTGGTGCCAGCCTGCCAACGGTCGCTTCTCCTACAACGAGTGCTCCTTGAGCTGCAACGCTCTGTTGACCGACGACATCACCAACTCCGTGCGTTGCGCCCAGAAGATCCAGGGCCAGCAGGGATGGACCGCATGGTCCACCTGGAAGTACTGCAACGGTGCTCTGCCCTCCATCAACGATTGCTTCTAAGCTGATCGAAAACCGCCCGCTTTGATAATAAATAAATTATAACTGAATTGAATTTTGGATGAGTCTTTCTTATTCTTCACTTTTAGCACGGACTATTTCAATGACATGCGAAAACTTTCTTAAGATCACTTTCTAATATAATAAATGTGGACAGTTTCACAAGAGAATATTCGTAGATTAATTTGCTTAGGCTTGAATAATATTAGAGATTTTAAGAAAATTAAAAAGCGATTTATTTGGTATTTTAAAGTTAGCCAATTCGAATTTTCACCCATAGAAAGTAAACTTGAAGCTCTGATGGTCAACCAACAACCGCAAATCATGATAAGGGGTTAACCGCATTTTATGGCCCAGCCCCAAAACGTATTAATTATGAGACATTTGTCAGCGTTGAGGAAATAATAATAATAATAATAAATAAGCCAAAAAACCAGTTGAACTGGTGTTTATATTTTGATTACTATTATGATGGATTTACACAAATAGTGCAGATTTCCGCATGAGCGATCAATAGACACAAATGTCGAAGGTAACTTTGAAAATCAATGGATATAACAATGTCGTATTCATTAGACAAATTGCAGCTGGACAAGCTTAGTTTGACTGACAGATGGAAGCCCGAGGCATCCTCGAGCTGTGTTTGGAGGAACACGAATAGTGCTGCAATTATAAGGTGATTGGAATCTATAATCTCAGTTTGCCCCTGGCCAGAGATTGGCAGCAGCGTCTCAAATTGGGAGAAAGTGGTAAGCAAAGCAATTTAACTGTCTCCATTTGGGTTTGTTTACAAAACAAATCACAAGAAGTTATATTTGTATGCATCAGAATAAATCATAAAAAACTACGCAATTGTTGAGCTGCGGTTAACTTGCGAGTCTATGCAACAAAACATAGCAAAAGTGAAGAGATCAGCATAAACAAGTAAGTCTGTCATTAGTGCTATGGACGATAGAGCTCAATAATTAACATATTATTCCAGTGTTATTACCAAATTTCCATTTAAAAAGTTTTGCACACTCAAGCATTTAAGCATTTATTAGAAAAGACAGAATCAAGATAGAAATTCTCAGGATTAGACTAAGAATCTACGATAATATGTGGCAAAGCTCTGTCTGTTTTCAGGTTCTACTGTACTACTTAATATATATATGTATATATATTATACACTTAAGCGAGTGGGAGCTGAACTTAATGGCATTGACTGATTGACTATTTAACTTATCTAGAGTACCTTTCCACTGTCCTATTTACCACGCCTGATAAGCACTCTTTAATCTTTAACTAAAAAGTCAAACTGTCAACCTTTAGGATATCGCAACCTTTTTTTTAGGGAGATAAGATGCAAATTGAGTGCTTTTGTGTGGACAGCTGGCCTTTTAAACTCAATTAGCCGTTGATGGTTAAGCTGGGAGCTGCTGCTTTGAGCGCAGTTCCCCCCATTTAGTTCAATTAGTTGGGCCAAAGAGTAAACCCTATTGCCCAAGATGCTGCTGCTGCCGCTGGTGCTGTACAAAGCAAGTCTCTTTTAAAGAGCAAATTGCGGTTACTCAATCAACAGTCAACAATTGCCTCATTTGTCAGGTGTCCAACAGCTGTCTGACAAATGTACTGAAAGTTAAACAAAGAATTTGCCAACTAACCGCAATTATGAAAAGAAAATTTTCCATTTTTCGTTTTTTTGGTTTTTTATAAACCTAATTTTTATATTGTATTTTTGGGGTTTCTGGTCGAAAGTGTGCTGGCCATTTTGTAGGCTTTGCGTGAGACGCCCAAGTTGTGTCCAGTTGGAGCGTGTCCAATGCATAAGCTATTTATTATTAGCAATTGTTAAATCAGACCGGAACAGTTTTCAGTCTAGCTCAGCGCTAAGTACATAAGTCTGCCCCTATATATATATGTTTATATGTCTATTTTTTTCTTTCTGTTATTTGTTATGTGTGCTGCCCACTGATGTTGCTTTTATTGTTTGTCTTACACTTTACTGGCATTGTTAGCAGCTTTAACTGGGGTCTTGGGGGCTGTGGGGATTGGGGAATTATAGTTATTGTGTAGCATGTCTCGTGCCGTCTCAAATTCAATTTTTCATCTCAATTTTTTGCCGCTTTCGAGTACGGTTAAATGTAATTTGTTTAAGATTTATTATTATTATTATTATTTTTATTTCTTTTTGATTGTTGTATCTAAGACACTTGCAGCTTTGAAAGTGTTTTTATAGCTTGTACTAACGATCTTTTGTTGTTTAGTTTGGTTCTTGCTGCCCACACATAAACTCAAGATGACGTCTCATTTCATTCTTTTTTTAGTGTATACACTATGCGAAGAAAGTTAAGCCCTATTTGCATATGCTTTGCCCAGTTGCTGCACTTAAGATCTAGTTTAGATTTGGGTTTAGGGTTGTGGCTTATGTGGGCGTAATCTGTCAGTCAGGCAAGCAGAACAAGAGACACAGAACAATGGGCCAAGATGGTACACAGTAAGAAAAAATCTTTTCTTTTTGAGAGTTGAAATTTTAAACTACTAAAATCTGAATCGAAAAAAAATGACTTAGCATTAATTTTAATCTTAGACCAAATCAAACTTGACTGGGTCGCTCAGTGCATGAGGCGTGATCAACAGATAAACAAGCTGAAATATAACCTTGTCCATTTGACCACTTTTGTGTCTTACCTCGTTTGGGGTCGGTCTTTTGTTCTCGATCGCTTCTAGGCCAAATACCGAAATCCAATTTGGAGTAGAGTTGCAGCAAATGCGACTAACATCAATTCCAAATCCAATTGGGCCAAATGCAGAACGTTCTCAAAATGTCCAAGCACGCACACATACACATATATACATATATACACACATACACTCACACACGCACACTTTTCATATTTCGTTTTGTGTTTTTTTTGTGAGCATACGAAGAAAAGTTGAGTTTGGCAGCGTCATCGAAGAAACGAGCAAACCATAAATTGAGAAGATTAGCACAAAGCAAAACACGGCAAGCTTCTATGCTACTTAGTTACGGTTGCAATTGTTGTTGTTGTTACTGTTGTTACTGTTTTTGTTGTGGATGCTGCAATAGGCCAGCATAGGCCAGCCCGGGCAAGAACTGAGAAACAGAGACACAGTCAGCCCCAGAGTGGAGAGTCAAAACGGAGAGTCGTACTCGTTTTACCGTTAGAATGCAATCAGCGCGCGTTCGCTCGCTCGCTCGCGATGATGTTAGCTTAACGAGAGTAAAGGAGACAGGGAAGGAGGGAGGGGGAGAACGGACACAGGCACTTTTCTATCCAATAAAAAAAAACTTGCACAACAAGAATATCTATTTATATGTATATATATATATGTGTATGTATATCGCGTAATCGTCTACGACACGTAACAAGGTGAGATACAACTGTGTCTGTGTGTGTGGAGGAGGTGTTGATGAAGTAGCCGTTATTCATCAACCGTAGTAACAGTTACAGTTTAAACTCCCAATACGATAACACTTTGTTAGACCTAAAGCACGGCTAGCAAAGCCATCGTTATTCGATTTAACCAACTGATTTAGATAGACAATAATAATAATAATCAATTGAGCTCTGCTCTCGCCACGCGCACACGTCCGCTTCGCTCAGAAGTCACGCACTGACTGAAGCCAGGCAGCCAACCAGACAACCGCTAAGCTTGGCTTCAACTCGACCCAACTCGAGCCGCTGTCGATGACAGTTAGAGTTCGACTCTCGGCGGCCACTTTCTCAACTCGTTTAAGTGAAGCGCTCTCTTGTTGCTATTGCTCTCTCTCACTCTCTCTCTGTCTGCACATGTATAAGACTTGGCTTATACAATTAACGAGTATAAGACCTGTCATTGAATATACGCTTTGCTTTGATTGAAAACCACGACTTTTTGGCATTTTCATTTTCATCTTTACTTTGAGTGCTTAACATACAGCTGAGCAGCTGTCATCGCTGAATGGCAAAGCAGTGTTGCAGAAGTGCCGGGTAGAATTCCATCTGACCAACCATGCCAACATTTTAAAGCTCTCTTATAAATTGAAGCTATTTAAAAGTCACATCAAATTTATTGTTTTTAGTTTATAAAAGATAGTGAATTAAAATGCAATTCCATTAAAATAGCCAAATATTTATGGTACATTTTAGGTAGATGTAATTTTTTTGTCTTTTTTCTGATGTGGAAAACTGAATACATTTTTGCCCATACAGTATGCAGAAATTTACTTGTGTTGCTAAAAGTATGCAATTCTTTTCGAATTGAGAAGAACTGATTACAACTTGTAAATAATTTTCTACAAATTTTCAAAATTGATTTGTACACATGCAAGCAGCGTATTACTGCTCAAGCAAGCAGTGCAGCCAAACTTTTGCATCCGCCTGCAAGTATGCAATGCTTATTTTCCACAAATTGACAGCTGACTAGAGTGGCTGCTGTAGCAGCGCTCAAGTCGTTAATTTTGAATTGATACTAAAACGTATAATTAAACTCACCTGTCTGTAATTGATTTGGCACGCTCGTAAATTGAGTCGACTGAATATTCATCCGCATTCGAGCTGCAGGCATTGGTGCGATTATCCACGGCCTCCTCGTAGCAGTAGCTGCAGCTGCAGCACGAATACTGCGAACAATACGAGGAGGCATCCAAATCAGTGATTCCAATCGAACACTCCTCGTCCAGTCTCCGTTGTCGCTGCTCCATTTCCACGTTGGACACTTTTTGGGGCGTAGAGCGACTGAAAGAGAGAGAAGCGTTTGAATTTAATACTTGATAAAGGAGGAGTTCTCTGTGAGTAGAATTAATGATTTTTCGTGGCATGTCTCTGTGATTAGAATTAATACTTCCAATAAAAGGCTCTGTAAGCTCTACTCTGTAAACTGAACTGAATTTGATTGATTGATTGATTGTTTAACTAGTCACGAGTACACTGTACATTTTTTATTTACGGCATGCAAATATTTAAAACAAACTGAAAAAATCTCGAAGAAATGAAAAGTACTCAATCAAGTTCAACAAGTTCTCACTCATCGGATGATCACTGTAGGAGGTATGTGTGAGAGGCAATTACCTTTTGGTGCGTGTGTCCATCGTATCCATGACGACGTTCCAGGTGCGGTGTATTAAGTAGAGCAGAAACAGCATTCGCGAAGTCTCGCCTCCATTAGGTGGTGAACTGCCTGAGGTGCCCAGGCAGCTGCTGGAGCCGAGGGGGGCGGATTGCTGGCTATCCACAGAATCGTTGGGCTGCTGATGGCAGCGTGCTGGCAGCGTCTTGGAGCGATAGTCGTCTTGGAGGCAATAGTCACGCTTGTGCTGCTGATAACGACGACGCGTATTAAACTGAGATCCACTTTCCACGACGCCAACTCCAGCTGAGGATCTATGTGTGATGCGATTACCCATTACGAGGATTGATGCCAATCAGACATTGCCTAATAAGACAGGGACAAGAATCCGTGTTAATAACATATGTAATGAGAGTGTGCTTGAGTATGTGTGTGTGTGTATGTTTACCGACATAGATGCTAACCAGTTCTAAAGCTTTGTAACCGGAAAAGTGAAGTGAAGCTACCAAGATCGGAGAATGGGCGTCCTCGGAATTGGGTCAGCAGTGTGGAGTTCTTATTGAGTTCTCCACTGCTGCTCCTCAGTTCTGATTCTGGTTTGGAGGCAGCCAATTGGGGTCGCCTTTGGAGTTGACCAACAGGAACGACAATAAAGAGAACATGACACTCAACATAGAAGGCTGCTCGCCGAAAGCGCTTCATCTGCCGGGTAATTTCGATAAACTATCCAAACTGCCTGATAGATGATAGATGGATGCATTGCGACTGGACAACTGAACTGGTTTTTTGTTATCTCTTTGGACATGAACACGGACAAGTTAATTGCACTTGCGCTGCACATAAAGAATAGAGGAGAGATAGGAGATTTTATATATATTTATACAAAAGGAGGTCGTGCATCTGTCTTTAGGTCAATGGAATTCATCAAATTAACACTAGGCGCAAATTTGTCAACAATTCTCAAAACAAAATCGACTAAGTCTTATCACTGAACTCCAAGTGTGACCGCTAAATGACTGTGGTTGCCCTATCTGCAACTGACTACGACTATCTGAGAGGTAAACCAAAAGTGTTGGCAAACAGAGCTTATCAGCAGAAAAAATTCATACTTTTTGACGTAAATTTAGAATCATTTTAAATATGTAATTCAATTTAGTATTAATGTAGAGAAGAAACTATAGTTTGGCACAGCTTAAAGTGAACGATTAAACTAAATTTACAATTAATGTAGAGCTGAAATCATAGTTCGACATGGCTTATCTCTATTAATATACGTCTATTCCTATATTTATTATTATTAACTTTACTATTAAACTAGAGGTGAAAACATTGTTAAAGCTCAATATGTATTGAGTAGGCCATCTGCTCTAAATATTCTGCAATGCAATGCAGTTGATCATTAATTTTCATAAACATTCTCTTCTAACTGTAATCTATAGTGAAATGGATCAATTTAGATGCGATTTGGACTTTTACAGGCAGAAAACAACATTAAATGCACACAAACGTTGATCAATTTTTATGTCTTTTTACACAAAGAAGGCCTTTCGAATATGTTAAACAGAATGCAGAAGCAATCTGTGCGTGTGTATTTTGTTATCAAGATTAAGTCAGTAACAAACAAACAAACATTTAAGCCACAAACTTAAAGAGCAACCGGTTCTTAAGTGACAATAAAAGCAGAAGGTGAAAGTTAAACTAGGCGTGAAAAATTTGGTAGGGTAGGTTGAGAAAATCGAAACCTATAAAGAAAAATTAGCTGCCTTAAGCTGGGTGATCAACTTTATATAAAATATAAAATGTAGGTTAACAGCTTATTCCCCTAAGGGATACTTAATATGAACTATTAGCGGGTGTTTATCAACTCGACTTTTTATGTCTAGAATCAAAATTTAGTTTTCATTTTGAAAAATTCCCTTCTTTCCTTCTGCTTTAAGTATGATTTCTAGAATTCAGCTATAAATTCTAATGAAGTCAGAAAGTATTAAGATAGTAACTTAAAATTCATGGTGGTAGAAATTACATTGTGTGGTTTGGTTTATCTTATCTCGCATGTGGCACACCCTGTATAATGAGCGTGCAGTGCTAACTACGGGAGAGAGGACAACAGTCAAAAGCTAAATGCGACGTGTTCGTCGTTGTCGTTTCGCAGTCGCGTTTGCAACAATCGAGCGCACAGATCTCTCGCAAAGCGGAGCTCACAGCTGGAATTACGAAAAAAAGGAGCAATTTTTGGAAAGTAAAGAACAAAACAGAAAACACAACTAAAGATGAGCACGCAGAGTCAACTGAATACGGCGCAGTTGGTGTTTGAAGAGAAGCCATTGTATGTGCCCTCGTTGGAAGAGTTGCAGTCAGGTGAGGCGAGCACTTAAACAGTTGAACAGATTCCAATCACCAGCACGACAACACGAACTCAAGCAAATGACCTTCACGCAAGTGTGTCGAACTTTCCATAGCCGGTTTTCTTGATAGGTGTTTTCTGCGTGTGTTTCTGAATGCAATTGCGGAGAGGGTATTTTAGGGTAATTATGAATCATGTGTAAATGCGTAACGCACTGCTAGAGTAATTTGTAAATTCATGTGTATAAATTCTTCATGCTGAATATATATTGTGGGTAATATATATAATTTGGATAATATATATAAATTATATTCTGCACATATCAAATTCTCAATATGAATATTTTGAATGAATGAATATATTTATGAATATTTTGAACATATAAAATTCTCAATATGAAGGGTATTTATTTGTCGTCTTGTCGCATTTTAGCTATTCTTTGTTGTTTGACAAAACATATGAGCTGCTTAGCTGGGAAGCTTTTTGCTCAACTTTTTGCTCGTTGTCTTGATTTAGGGCGTGATTAAGCTTTTTACGATATTTACGTTCGCTCTTTCTCTCGCTCGCTCTCTCGCTAGTTATACAGGGTGCACTGGATAAGAACTTTGCCACCGCCAGTGTAAATGTGGGCACCTGTCCAGATCTAAAAGCGCCACAATTTGGCCTGGTCGAGTCTGGTTTGGGTGGCAAACCGATTTTGCTGGAGGTGGGAGGTCCTCCGTATTTGCTGCCGCTAGTGCAGCGCGAGAAGTTATACAACATTAAGGAGATCACACGCAGGGCACAGGGTGCCCAGGGCAAAATATTTGCCATAGGCGCCGGCGCCGGACCATTTCCCATACGCAACTCCAATTGCGAGGGCATCTACAATCTGTCCGTGAGTGCGGAGAATGAGCTCAACAATGGCAGCTATACGGCCACGGTGCGGGGCGAGCACGAGGAATGCGTCCTGGAACGCATACCCAGCACTGAGCCACGCTGTGCCCTGCTCCTGAATCTCTTCGTGTGCAGTGGTGAAACGGGACCCGTGCTGAAGATCAGTGCCAAGCGGCGCAAGGGCGAGTTTAATTTTGTGGAGTGCATACGCAAGGGATTGGAGAAGCACTATGACGACCAGGTCGTTGGCCTGGGTGGCATCTTTCTCGTTAAGAGCGGAGCCGTTCATCAGCATGTGATGCGGGATTTTAGCACTACGCCCATTCACACGGATGAGGAGGTCAATCAGTGGCTCAAGTTTTATGAGATGCCCGCCCAGCTGAATGCCGTCGGCACACTGGTCACCAAGGAGCACGATCTCGATTTGCGACTGCAGCACTTTCACTCCTTCTCCTTCAGCAACTGGGGTGGACACTATCACTACGACACCACGCCGGACTCAGTCGAATACGAGGCATATCTCAATGTGGCTGAGCGTGTGGTTCGCGTTGATCCCCCCGCCGACACCCACAAAGTGGGCAGGGACTGAATCGCCTTTCTCCAGTAACAAAAAAAAACACAAAAAACAAAAAATAATAGAGCTTAAAGTTAAATTTAGTAAATAAATATTCATTTGATAGATGAAAAAAATAATATAAATGTGTGAAAATTGATGGCAGTTTTTCTATACCCTGCAACTTAATTAAAAATGGGTTAAAAGGGGTATACTGAAATTGTGTATATGTGTGCAGCTCGCAGGTGGAGACTTTGATAACTAAAAGTTTTTAAGGACATTTTTATGAATCCCGTTTTAGCTTAATCCCATAGTAGTGCTATAAACCGTCCTTAATAACTGCAATTTTACAGTATTCAATAATAATAGTATAAGCAGAAGTTATACAATTAGTTGAGTACAGTGTATTTATTATTTTGCTTTGAAAAATTCCACAACAAACGCACAACAATGAGTACAGGGTATCTACAAGCCGACTACTCTACAACTAACCATTATAATCTATTTTGCTTTATCTTTGCAGCTTGTTTGACCAAACAATTATCTTATTTTCGGCGCCAGCCAAAGCTGCCAAGGGGCTTATCTGTTAATACTTTATGTAATTGCCAAAAAAAACACAACAACAAAAAATAAAAAGAAGAGCAGAAAAAGCAGAAATTGGCAGCTGAACTTTCTATGCGCCAGCGTCGTCAATCAATCGCAAGAAGATCTAAGCCGAGAGTGAGAGAGAGAGGAATATCTAAGGCAGAAGTAGAGGAAGAAGAAGAAGCAGAGCTGGAGATAGCTCGGTTAATGCGAGGTTCTGGTTTTATAACTCCGTTGAACCATCGCACTAATGAGAAGAGCTGAAATTAAAGCTATATTCATATCTTTGGCAGAGAGATACGGCGACTAGCTAAGCAGGCCGTAAATAATGCAAGAAGCATGCATCGCTGACCATTAATTATTTAATCGCTTTTGTGCAGATGGCTATTAAGTTGTATATTTTTTTTCCAATTTCTCATCTATTGCGCTACATCAAAAGTTATTGATGGCTGCCACGGTTGGCAGTGAGTATGTTTAATGGCGACAGTTGCAAATTGTAAATAATAAATATCAGAAATATTATGTCTTATTTTCAACTTACCCAGATTTCGATTCATTCGATTCGATTGATTCATTTATTCATTCAGAATTTGAATTGTGGGTTTTTGTGGGTCGACTGCTTGCCAGCCTTTTGTATAACGTGTTGTTCTGCGACGATTTAACGGACTGATTTCTAATATTTGCATTTAGATACACATTTATTATTCAAATGCGAGGGCAACCTTTCCGTTTATCCGAAACCAGCAACAGCAGCAACAGAAGAAGCAAAAGCAGTTATATGCAGATATGCAGAGAGAGAAATGCAAATACGATTTCGCCTGCGCGCTGCCCACGTAAAAGAAAACAACAATATTTAGTTGCTGTAATCGTTTTGTTGTTGTTCGCTGTTGTTTTTATTGTTGTTGCTGCAGATGTTTTTCTAGCCGCTTACACAGTTGCACATTTCATACAATTATTAAACACATAATTATCACTTTTTATGAGCTTGGCTCGTTTTGATTGACTGCCTGCGACTGGCTGCTTGTCTGCATGACGTGCCCTCCTCGCTTTGAATTGGTATTGAAGACTGGTGATCGGTAATCAATGATCGCGCTCACGTCTGTTCGGCTCAAGCTCACGTTGCAGACTGAATGAAGCTGGCGGCTGCTGATTGCTGTTGCTGCAGACTGCGCTGCTGCGCCTGCGTTGTGTTTGAGATGCTGTCAGTCGTCGTCGTCGTTGCTATTGTTGTTGTAGTTGCCGCCTTGCGTTGATTGAAATTGTCGTTTTAGCTCAATTTGGACACTTCTGTTGAGAGCGATGTACAACACTGCATGAAATTTAGCATGACTAAACGCGTCAAGTGCATATAAAACAATGAAGTCGACTTGAGAGCTGCAACAGTTTTTCAATACTCAACCAGTTCCCATGCGAAACTTGCACTTGCAATGCCAAAGCCAATTGGACAACAACAATGAACAACGACGAACAACGACAAACAACGACGAACAACAACTTCGTTGCATTGTGGAGCGCTCCTGTTTTCGATGCTGCCCAAAGGCAACAAATAAACCTGAACTCCTATAAGAAAAAACGTACAATGAACCATGGAATGGAAAATCGACAACATTGAAATTTCCTTATAAAGCCTATTAAGATAGCAGATTACATATGTGTAGAATTCACATTGAAGTAACTCGTTTGATATTTTAATAAATTCATAGTTTAGTCATAAAATGTAATGAATTGGGGCCGATCTGGAATTGAGACGAGCAGTTATGTTAATTAAGGAATAATATGCTGTTATTAGTCCAAATTACTCCCATCGTTGGAGGAGTGTTGTGTAAATAACTTAGTTATTCAGGCAACTGGACCAATTCCAGGCTGGAAATCATAATAACTAGTTAGCTACTGATCTTCTAGGCTGGAATACATAATGCCCAACTGGCTGGCATTTATAAATAAGATTGATACATTTTCAATTTATACCATATATGAATAGAAAAATGTTGTTTGTTATGAAAAACTTTCAATACAGGTTTCACTTTAGCTTGAGCTGTTTACAACATTAGTATACACAATAGCTGCTGCATCATGCATCAATCATCCAATTTCAAGCACTTGATAAGCAATCAAATCTGGTTTTCCAAATAATTAAATGTGAGCTTCCCTTAAAATATAGACTCCTAGTTTGTTCTTTATGCGCATAACGTATTTAATTTTTACTTTAAGTTGTTCTCACTTTAAATAGGTGTATAACAAGAAACTAGTCGTCGCAGGCTAAATGTTAGATGATTGAAAGTCTCATCGTACAATTGGTTTTCTTTGGAGAGGCCGGCATTCGATGCCAAAAGGAAATAAACGTTTTTAAAATTATACAGTGCAATGCAATAAATTGGTTATTACTCGATCGATAATCATAATTTAAGCGACCACTTTAACATAATGATTTGCAATAATAGCAGCGACAGAGGAAAACAAATGCAGTTATGTCTTAGGGAGTCAGCGCTCGTCGAGCAAATCATCTAATTAAAAATGCAGGCAGACGCGTCTCTCGTTGGACGTGGTTCCGGTTATTATCATTATATATAGATATATTGTGATCCTAACCGTTTATCGCGTCTTTATGAACAACTCGTCTATTGGTAACGGGCCAACTTGGGCAGTGGGGCATAGGCTGATGTTGCGATTATGGGCGACTGAACGACTTGAGAGCTACAATAGATAAAGATAGTTGATAGATAAGACATAAGCAATTATTACATGTTTGATTAACATCACTTACCGCCAGAACAGCGAGCCGCCGCGTTTTAGTTCCCGACGCGACTGCAAATCATTCCAACAGTCAACCCAATTGTTGTATCGCGGCATTATTGGCGGCTGGCCGGCCATCAGGCGTGAGCCGCTAATTGAGGAGCATGTAGACACCACTTGTAGTGGATAGAGTATGCTCGAGAAGGCGAACTGCGTGAAGCCAGCATTATATGACCGGGCCACCTTATCCTTGATGAGGTATTTGTCCACCATGAAAACCGTGGAGCTTGTTAGCACCAAACAGGCCACATCGAACAGCAGTTTGGGGATCAGGCCGGAAAAGAAGCCCATAATGCCTTCGGTATTCCAGATTTCGACAATGGAGCCCAGTATTGAATTGTAGATCTTCTCACGGCCCACAAACTGGGCCATCATGCGCAACGAAATCACATGGAACGGATGGGAGACAACAATTCCGCTCACCGTCAGCACAATGTCGCGTTTCAGATTGTTCTTGAATTGCACATATCTGTCAAAGAAAAAGATTCCATTAACTAACTAATAGCTGGACAAATACCAAACTCACTTCTCCTCCTCGGTCAGTTCGGAATCGTCCTTGCTCTCCTGATCCGAAAGTCCCAGCTTCTCGGCGACGCGCTCACTCACAACCATGCTCATCACGGAGCCAACCAGTTTGGGTGCCAAGCCGCGATAGCAACCATAAAAACCGTCCACCTTTTTGATGTGACCAGCTACAAATTGGAGAAAATTGAATGCCGGCCGGCAACAGTTAGAATCGATGTGTGGCTTTACTAACCGTACTGAAAAATATTTGGTAGCAACATGATGGGTCTGCCCAGCATGGATTTGCCGGGTCTGGCGCCAATCGGTTCGTAGCCAATCTGTATTAGCGTTTTTGAGTAATCAAATGGATGCAGTGCAGCGCTGACTGCAAGGCGCATTCCAAACTTCACCCAGCCATTTGCTTCGGTCTCCTCATGCGAAGCGTAGCCATTGAAATTTGTCATTGTTGCTTATTGAGCGATGCTATGTGTGAACAATATTAAACGGTCGACCGAATTGTTTGCACGTCTGCCTATTTTTTCGCTTTATTTCAGGTTACAAAACTTTGACAAAACATGTATCGATAGTTATACAATATGATCACGTACGATGTTTAGCAAACGCGCTATCGACTAGTCGATTTTTTTTGTGTGGGGACTTTTGAAAGTTGCGCGCGATTACGCCAAACGTTTAAATACATAAATATTGTTGCGACAAGGCTTTAGTAATAATTTTCTAATTTGCTATTATTGGCATTTGTAATATTTATTCAATAAGAAATTAAAATGTTAATGCAGTACAATTTCTCAGCTCAACTGTTCTGATAAGACTGAGCAATCGGTTAATCGATAACAAAACATATGTTTTGCCTGCTTTCGATAAATGCGTTTTGGTGGTGTGGGTGTAAAATGCATAGGTATTTGCTCAACATTTCCTACATTGGCACGAATTTTCGGTGAGAATTGAGAAAACTGCGTAAATGGAATGCAGGAAAGATAAAATGTTACTTGCAGTGGTATACAAAAGACGATAAACAAGCTGGAAGAAGCTCGACTGGACACAAATTCAATACAGGGCTGCTTGGAGTTGGCATTGCGCGTTTTTCGACCCAAGAACGAAATACAAACGGTGCTCTCCAGTCGGTAAGAGCTCCCACTCTGTGAACTATATGCCATGCTGGTATTCTTATATAATTTGGTTCATTTAATTAGCACAGATGCTGGCGTACACGCCCTGCACTCAACCGTTCATGTGGATTTGGAGCGCAGCGATGGCAAACCCTATGACACCAGCACATTGACTGGCGTGCTTAATCGAACGCTGGACAAGCACAAACTGCCCATACGCATCTTGAGCAGTCAGCGTGTGGTGGACACTTTCCACTGTCGCTATCACGCCACCGGACGCACCTATTTGTATCGCGTGGCTGTGGCAAAGAGTGTGTCGGAGGCATCCAAGGGCAGCAGTCTAAAGAACAAAGGCTACGAATCGTTTGTGCCCGTCGAGGAGATCGATAGATGCTATTTTCTGCAGTAAGCAAGCAATTAATGAATCGAATCCCTGTTAATCCCTTACCACTTGCAGTTGTGACAACTTTGATGTAGAACGCCTCCATGGAGCGGCACGCATGTTCCTTGGCCTCCACGACTTTCGTACCTTTATGAGCGTCAGTCGGCAAAAGAGTCCCAGTCGTGATCATCCCATGTTCACTGTGCGCAAAATCGATGAGATCAACATACGTCCGGGACAAACCCTGGCACTGGGCCCCAATGCAAAATTGGCCACACAAACCTATGACTATTGGGACATAGAGATCAAGGCCAAGTCGTTTCTCTACAAGCAGGTGCGTCGCATCGTGGGCACACTGCTGGCACTGGCAAATTCTCGCATTGACGAGCGCTGCATATACCAGATGCTAACGATTCCCTCCAAGCACAACTGGGATAGTCGTGTTGTTGTCGCACCCGCTTGCGGTCTCTATTTGTGCCGTGTCCATTATAGGGAGACGGCCTTTGATCTACCCGAGGAGATTAGTCAGTGAATATCATGATTCTGCTGTATGAGCTGCAGAAGCGTATGGCCAATCTGAGGCCAACCACCACAATTGTGACCACACCCACCGGTGCCCGTTATATGGAGCGACGCAGATCATCAAGTGGCGAGGAGAAGGAAACCAATGGCAGTCCCGTGCAGCTGGAGGCACGTCAATATGGCTTTGTGGTGGACACTAAACCTGATACCGTGCCCGCCTGCATATTGAGTGAATTTCTCTATTTGGGCTCCCAGGATGCTGTCAGTGCTGAGAATGTCCTCAAATATAAATGGACGCACATTTTAAGTGTCGGCATTGAAATGCCCAGTGTTGAACTACCACCAACGGTCAAGTGCAAGCATCTGCCTTGCTTGGATCTACCCGAAACGGATCTACTGCACTACGTGCTGCCCGTCGCCATCGACTTTATCGAGGAGGCGCACTCCGTCAAGGGCTGTGTCCTTGTCCATTGCAATGCGGGCGTTTCGCGTTCCGCTTCCGTTGTCATCGGTTATCTGATGCAGCGGCGCGACATGCGCTTCGAGGAGGCCTACAATCTGGTTAAATCGTGGCGGCCTTGCATACAGCCCAATGCAGGATTCATACAGCAATTGAAGAAATTTCACAAAAAATAGTAGCAATATTTGCTTAATTAATAAAGTGTTTGTTTTTGGTGTGAAGTTGATTTTTTAAATTTTAGCGGAAGTATATACAAACTAGCCTTAAAAAGTTCTTACCCATAAGTCCATTACTTTCTATATTACTAATTATGTTTAATTATTCAACTTTAGAATCCACTTCAGAATTCACTTTCGATATGGCGCTCAAATAGTTATCGCAATTGTTATCGATTATCGGTTTACATGGTCAGGCGATCAGCTGAGCTGCCGCCGCTAAGGAACCGCTACAAATGTCTCATTTAAAGTCTGCAATTTTATTGTTGGCCGTTATTAGCCACTATGCAAGTGCTGACTGCGGCTGCAACAAATTGGACAGAGATGCTGCCGCTCCGAAAACCACCAGACAGGAGCAGACGGAGCAACAGGTGTGCCAGCAACAGACGCACAATAAAAACAAACACTATCGGGATTATTACGCGGAGCTGGAGCCCGAAATTGAAGGCATGTCTTTGATACCTGGCGGGAGTCTGCACATTGGCACCAATGAACCCCATTTCGAGGCCGATCACGAATCTCCAGAGCGCGTGGTCAAGGTCCAAGATTTCTATCTGGACAAACACGAAGTGTCCAATGCGAATTTTGCCAAATTCACCGAGCAGATTAATTATAAGACTGAAGCGGAACGTTTTGGGGATAGTTTCCTATTTAAGACGCTGCTGACGCCAGAGCAGCAAACGGAGCTAGAGGATTACCGTGTGGTCAACGCACTCTGGTGGTATAAGGTCAAAGGCGTCAGCTGGCGCAAACCCAATGGCATCAACAGCAATCTTCAAGGTGTGTAAATAATGAGGTACAAATAAATACTTGAATAATTTTACTGATTCTCTTGCCAGGCTTGGAGCAACATCCGGTGGTGCATGTGTCCTGGCGCGATGCTGTCGCCTATTGCACATGGGCAGGCAAACGCTTGCCCAGCGAATCGGAATGGGAAGTGGCCTGTCGCGGGGGCAAGCAACGCAAACTCTATCCTTGGGGCAATAAACTAATGCCCAAGGATCAGCACTGGCTGAATATCTGGCAGGGCGAGTTTCCCGATGGCAACACCCAGCAGGATGGATATCAGTTCACATGCCCCGTGAATGAATTCCGTCAGAATAACTACGATCTGTACAACATGGTGGGCAACGTGTGGGAATGGACTGCGGATCTGTGGCAGGCGGGCGACACCAGCGAGAGTCCCGCTCGTGTCAAGAAGGGCGGCTCCTATCTGTGCCACAAGTCATATTGCTATCGCTATCGCTGCGCGGCACGATCGCAAAACACCGAAGACAGCTCCGCCGGCAATTTGGGCTTTCGATGTGCCAAGAATGCCTAAACATAGAAATATATATATATATATATATATATATATATATATATATATATATATATATATATATATATATATATATAATATAATATAATAATATAAATATAGATATTTTATAAACATTTATATGCACAGGGAATTTATCTTCATACATGAAATAAAATATTTATATATGATCATAGCTCATATTAGTGGTAATGATGGTCTTCGCTCACGAGGGTGATCTGAAGGTCTATCACATAACAACGATGCTCGACGTTTTTTGCGATTGTTTAAGAAACGGACTCGATGGTCTTGCTCCAAGATGGCCTGATTTTTACGCGGCGGTGCCTTTGGCTGATATGGCAAGGGTTTCTTACACCTGCGGCTGCAATAATTGATTGAAATATTAGAGGATTACAACAACTCCTCAAAATTATCCGTTTTATTAGTTACCTGCTGCGGCAGACTGCGCAGTCGCCCTTCTCGGGATCGGTGTGTTTCTCCCAGTAAGCATCCTGCACCAGGGTGCCGCACCAGGCCTTGGTGTGCAGATATATGAAGAACGTGTCTGTCTTATGTTTGGGATCCTGCGCGCACATTTGCGCATGACGAAGCCAACCTTCACTCTTGGAGTGTTCAAAACCACAGCGCTGGCAATGGGACCACCGATTTATTTCATGAATGGTCACCCAACGAGATTTCCTAATTATTTGTGGCTTCACATCTTGAACTTCCGGCACTTTATCCGAATCACTAATTGTTTGTATGATGTCATGTGGTGACTCCAACTCTTCCGCCTCCAATTTGATATGGAGGTCTTCAATCCCCAACTCGATCTGAGGCTCTTCAGCCGCCAACTCGACCTTGAACGGTGACGCTAGTGTTGCCTGATCGGGAAATGGTGGCCATGGTTCCGAGTAGACAAACACGTGCAGCGGCCCCTTCAGACAAGGTGCATGCTCCTTCATCAAATCCATTTCCCTCCAAATGTTGCATTTAATGCATTTCAGGCGAGGCGGCTGTGCACAACAGAAACAGTGGGTGACATGGCCACCTCCATGTTCCAGGCATAGTGCGTTATTTCTGCTAGAATAAAGCACTCCACATTTGCAGCAAAGGCGTTGCATCCTGTCCTGAGATGACTAATAACAAATGGTGGAAAAAACTCATCTTGTGTGAATGGCAAAATACGATAAGCCACGCTTCGATTACTTCAATGGCGGCAAGTTTGAAATTACTTCGAATGTATCGTGCTTTTTTCCAAAAGCTGTTTTCAGATATCGATATTCTATCGATATGAACATGAATCATAAATATCGTTTGATTTTGAATTCAAATGCGCGAAAATAAATTTTACAATTGATTTAATATAGTTAATTTTATTATATTTAATTTGATGGTCTGCACTTGAGTTGAACAGTTGCAGTCACGAAATCATTGTTAATTATTACATCCAGTAGACAGTATGGCTAATGTGTATATTTTTCTTCTTTTATATTGCTGACTATTTGCCGAGCGCAAAACGACAAATGTTTATTGCAAATTTTTCAGATTTTGACAGGCATGTCTTTGATACCTTGCGGGAGTCTGCACATTGGCACCAATGAACCCCATTTCGAGGCCGATCACGAATCTCCAGAGCGCGTGGTCAAGGTCCAAGATTTCTATCTGGACGAACACGAAGTGTCCAATGCGAATTTTGCCAAATTCACCGAGCAGATTAATTATAAGACCGAAGCGGAACGTTTTGGGGATAGTTTCCTATTTAAGACGCTGCTGACGCCAGAGCAGCAAACGGAGCTAGAGGTTTACCGTGTGGTCAACGCACTCTGGTGGTATAAGGTCAAAGGCGTCAGCTGGCGCAAACCCAATGGCATCAACAGCAATCTTCAAGGTGTGTAAATAATGAGGTACAAATAAATACTTGAATAATTTTACTGATTCTCTTGCCAGGCTTGGAGCAACATCCGGTGGTGCATGTGTCCTGGCGCGATGCTGTCGCCTATTGCACATGGGCAGGCAAACGCTTGCCCAGCGAATCGGAATGGGAAGTGGCCTGTCGCGGGGGCAAGCAACGCAAACTCTATCCTTGGGGTAATAAACTAATGCCCAAGGATCAGCACTGGCTGAATATCTGGCAGGGCGAGTTTCCCGATGGCAACACCCAGCAGGATGGATATCAGTTCACATGCCCCGTGAATGAATTCCGTCAGAATAACTACGATCTGTACAACATGGTGGGCAACGTGTGGGAATGGACTGCGGACCTGTGGCAGGCGGGCGACACCAGCGAGAGTCCCGCTCGTGTCAAGAAGGGCGGCTCCTATCTGTGCCACAAGTCATATTGCTATCGCTATCGCTGCGCGGCACGATCACAAAACACCGAAGACAGCTCCGCCGGCAATTTGGGCTTTCGATGTGCCAAGAATGCCTAAACATAGAAATATATATATATATAAATATATATATATATATATATATAATATAATATAATAATATAAATATAGATATTTTATAAACATTTATATGCACAGGGAATTTATCTTCATACATGAAATAAAATATTTATATATGATCATAGCTCATATTAGTGGTAATGATGGTCTTCGCTCACGAGGGTGGTGTGTCGATGCTCGACGATTTTTGCGATTGTTTAAGAAACGGACTCGATGGTCTTGATCCAAGGTGGCCTGATTTTAACGCGGCGGTGCCTTTGGCTGATATGGCAAGGGTTTCTTACACCTGCGGCTGCAATAATTGATTGAAATATTAGAGGATTACAACAACTCCTCAAAGTTATCCGTTTTATTAGTTACCTGCTGCGGCAGACTGCGCAGTCGCCCTTCTCGGGATCGGTGTGTTTCTCCCAGAAAGCATCCTGCACCAGGGTGCCGCACCAGGCCTTAGTGTGCAGATATATGAAGAACATGTCTGTCTTATATTTGGGATCCTGCGCGCACATTTGCGCATGATGAAGCCAACCTTTACTCTTGGAGTGTTCAAAACCACAGCGCTGGCAATGGGACCACCGATTTATTTCCCGAATGGTCACCCAACGAGATTTCCTAATTATTTGTGGCTTCACATCTTGAATTTCCGGCACTTTATCCGGATCACTAATTGTTTGTATGATGTCATGTGGTGACTCCAACTCTAACGCCTCCAATTTGATATGGAGGTCTTCAATCCCCAACTCGATCTGAGGCTCTTCAGCCGCCAACTCGACCTTGAACGGTGACGCTAGTGTTGCCTGATCGGGAAATGGTGGCCATGGTTCCGAGTAGACAAACACGTGCAGCGGCCCCTTCAGACAAGGTGCATGCTCCTTCATCAAATCCATTTCCCTCCAAATGTTGCATTTAATGCATTTCAGGCGAGGCGGCTGTGCACAACAGAAACAGTGGGTGACATGGCCACCTCCATGTTCCAGGCATAGTGCGTTATTTCTGCTAGAATAAAGCACTCCACATTTGCAGCAAAGGCGTTGCATCCTGTCCTGAGATGACTTATAACAAATGGTGGAAAAAACTCATCCTGTGTGAATGGCAAAATACGATAAGCCACGCTTCGATTACTTCAATGGCGGCAAGTTTGAAATTACTTCGAATGTATCGTGCTTTTTTCCAAAAGCTGTTTTCAGATATCGATATTCTATCGATATGACCATGAATCATAAATATCGTTTGATTTTAAATTCAAATGCGCGAAAATAAATATTACAAGTGATTTAATATAGTTAATTTTATTATATTTAATTTGATGGTCTGCACTTGAATTGAACAGTTGCAGTCACGAAATCATTGTTATTATTACATTCAGTGTATAGTATGGCTAATGTGAATATTTTTCTTCTTGTATATTGCTGACTATTTGCCGAGCGCAAAACGACAAATGTTTATTGCAAATCTTTCAGATTTTGACTATGTATGTGTTTATTTATGTACGTTTATGCTTATGCTACATGCTAGGTTTGCGTTTTATCAGATATTATTGGTTATAGATAAGTAAAGCTAAACTACACAATATATATTATCTGCTGAAATGCTTCACTGATACAAAATACACAATTATTCAGCGGAAAATACAAATGTACAAAAAAAACGACATTTAATTAAGGTGAGTAGTGCTATTTACAGAGGACCTAACTTAAAGCAATGCGCTGACTATGGGTTCTAATAATAAATACAACTAAATCGTAATCGTAACGAAATGTTTACATAATTTTATATATATATATATGTGTGTATGCATCGAATTATATATACATATGTATGTAGTTCTTTTTGTGTGGAGATAATGACAATCGTTTGTTTTTTTTTTTTTTTTGGGTGAGGGGCTGTGCATTTTCTGATGTTTGCTCCAAGAAATATCACAATGCAAATAATAGTATATCGAGGATCGAGATGCGATATCTGCGGATATGCCGAATTCAGAATGGGTCTGGGATTATTGTTGCATAGCATAGACAAAGCGTGTGGTAAGTAAGGAACATGTGCGCCGCCAGCCTGGAAGACTTTGGAAGCCGAGTCGTTGAATAAAATACTGCCTGTGTGTGTGTGTGTGTGTGTCACACTTAAGCTCCATCTCCGGCGGACAGCTGCACGGCCTGCAACATCACCTTCTTGAGATCATATGCCAGATCATTGATATGATGCACCGAGTCGACCATTTCCTGGACAGCAGTGCCGCTGGGGAAATGGGCAGCTGCCTTCTTCGACTTGAGCACACAGGTCTTGAGAGCCTCGGACAGCGAATTGGTGCAATGCAATATCTTGTCGCGCAGCGCCTCCTTGGAGATATTGCGATGCACATTGTCACCGATGGTGACCAGATTGTGGGCGCTGACCACAACAAATTTGCCATAGGCAATGAAATATTTGGGCGCCTGATTGTTCTTCACCGTCTCCAGGAACGAGTCGATCGCCTGCAGCAGATTGCCCATGTGTGTGGAGATCAACTGGGCATAGTATCGCACCAGCTTCTTGTCCTTGTCCGTCATCTGGGGCGATGCGGTGGCCACCACACATGGTGTTGTCGGCGTCGTTGGCACCGATGGCGTCGTTCCCATCGCTGTACACTCGGCAATTTTCAGTGCACTGTCGAACTGTGTCTTCAATCCTGCGGGAATGGCATCCCTCAATGCCTGATTCTTTTTGGCCGCCGCATCCTTGGACTCAAAGGCAACATAGTCATAGTCCTCCAGCCACTCGGCGCTGCCGCGTGTGCATCCATTGTGAGTGCTGGGGCTGGCGATTGCTGCCTGATCCGGGGGCAGTTGTCGCTTGAAGAGCAGCGAGGCATTGCCTTGAATGAAGCTCGTCGTGGAGCGCACATCCTCGGTCAGGGTCTGGGCACAGGCCATTAACTGATCCAAGCTGTCAGGCGGCCGGCAACCGTGCTTCTCATCACTACGCGCCAGTTGCTCCACCGACCAGCCACCACCCTGGGCATCCAGCGACTCGGAGGAATCCTGAATAAGCTTGTTGGCATCCCTCAAAGCGCGAACCAGCGGACGCAGCTTCAGGGCCAGATTGCGATCCTCCGACCGGTGTGCATTGCCCAGCGCACCCTCACCGAACTCGGCGAGATCATGAAGCGCTGTGCGCAGACGCAGTGCAGCCAGTTTCAGTTCCATGATGTTCGGCTCCAGCTGGGCACGTGTGCGCCAATGTGGCACCACAAAGCTGAGCAGTCTTGTGATGGCCAGCGTCGTCTCCGACTGCAATTTGGCCAGCGTTTCCAGCGCCGAATTCAGCTCCAGCGGCAGTTCCTTGCCGATGCACTGGCTGCCATTGCTGCTGCTGCTCTTGCTGCTGCTGCTGCTGCTGCTGTTGCTGTTGTTGGGCTGTGCCTGCTCCTGCAGTGGCGGCAACGAGAACTCATAGCTGTGGCATGCGGCATGATGGGGACGCTGATGCGGGCGAACAGGCAACGGATTACGGCGGGGTATATCATAGTCGGGCATATTCGCCAGCGAGCTGCGATTCGAGCTGGAGAAGCTCAGCGACAAACTGTCGCTGGTCAGCAGCGATGATGCCGAACTGCTGGGAGTCATTTGGTGTTGTTGCTGCTGTTGCTGCTGCTGCTGTATGATTAGTGGGCGTGGCACATCGTACGATTCCTCCTCAATGGACATCGATGCGCCGACGCTCTTCAGCGATTCGAAGCGTGGACCCAACGCCGAACCCGTTGTCGGCGTCCTCACGCCCCTCGCCACGCCCCCATCATAGTTCAGCTGGGGCACAGGCGTTGCCGGCTTGGGTATATCATAGGTCTCGAACTCGGTGCTGCTGGTGCTGGAACCGTTGACGTTGCTCCCATTCATCATGCCCAGATTCTGATAGATGCTTTGGTTGCTGTAGATCTGCTGCTGCTGCTGTTGTGGATGCGGTGAGCGTGGCGCTCCAGATAATGATCCCCCCGGGCTGTTGTTGTAAATGTAGACATCACCCTGTGGCCGCTGAGGCGTAATGACCTGTAATCAATACCAAAAAAAAAGAAAACGGAAAGGAGAATTAAATTAACAATTGGCCAGAAGAGCATCTTAGAATTGTGTAATTTGCGTAAGTCAAAAATCGCTAATTGGAGTGGGAATATTTAAAATTAAGCTGGTTTTTGTTAAGCAACAAAATTGATATTTTGGGTTCTTCTTTTTAGCACTTATATTGCAAACAGTGATCAACCTATTGAAAGGTTATAAAACATTAGTTTGATAAGGAATAAAGAATAACAGCAACTTAACACATAATATTAAATTGGTGCAGAATAGTTTCGACATTTAACCAAAAAGATATCAGATATATTTTCATCTTACTTTGGGTATGCAAGATATTAATTTAAACAACAAAAATATATATAAAAAAATGTCTAATTAACATGTGATAAACTAGACCTGTGATCCGCGGAATATTTTATTTGAAGAAGGTTTTTGGTAGACAAGAAAGTTATATTTTGAGTTAAGTTAAGTTTGTTTTTGTTCTCACTTTGATAACAGTTGGGTTATTAAACCACTTTTGTGAAAGGTAAGTTAGACGAAAAAGTATCTTAGTAGTCAAGTTGTTACTTTTGTCTAGATATCCACTCAAGTTCTTGATTTAAGCAAAAAACATGTTTAACTTATTAACTATTGATTCCAAATTCTTTCCAAATTAAAACTTAAGTAGATTTAAAACTGACTTTAATTGGTGATTAGAGCAGAAATAGAAACTCTGTTTTATTCAAATATTTATATGTATATGTGGTCTGGGGCTGATTAGGACTGGCTGCCTGCTTGGCTGACACATGCAACACACAAGCGTCTGAGTGAGTGGTGCCACCCACGCCCTTTCTTACTACGACTATGACTTATCGATTTTCACAATTGTTGTTGCCACCTCTCGGCGATTTTTATGAATGAGCTACAATTGTTTGGGGGCGGCGGAAGAGGGGCTTATTGCTGGATGACTGTCTCACCTGTCTGCCTGTCTGCCTGTCGGATTGGCTTTATTGCTGTCAATTATCACATTTTGTTGCCAATTATTGCCAATTAATAAAATCCGTGAAGAGAAAAGATGGCATAAAAGAAAACTGCACGGCTCAATGGGAAAAACTTGACTGTGAAAGGAGTCGAGTGCGATTCGTGCTCGCAGCAAGCAGCACGTAAAAAAATAGTGGGTAATATTTTGAGCATGCGCACTGCTTGACCTGCTCTCCAGCCAAAAAATACTGGGATATTAATGTGTCTTTTTTTCCTCTTGTTGTTGCCGACTGCAGTTCAAAGCGGTTCAGTGTCAAGGTAATTACGAAAAAAAGACCCTGAAGCCGGACAATGGCAAATAAGGCGAGTGGATCTGGGGAATGGCAACTGAAGTGTTGTTTATTAATAGAAAAGGGATTAATTATTATTGAAAAAAATGCGATATGGCAGCAGCTTAAGCGTTCCGTCAATTTCTGACGCCATATGTTTGATGAAATATTATTACAGCATATGTCAAATTCATCAATTGCTGCTGCAGCTACCCTCGTTTAATGAGCACACACCAAACTGCCACGCCCACCGACCGTTAGCGCATTGAATCGATTTCCAATTAGGCGAACCGTTAAAACCCCAACCCTCGAAAAGGATCGCCAGCGCAGCGAGAAATGTGCTACCTGAAGTGCGTCCAGTTTTCCCTTTCCGATCCGTTTGGTTTGCACTCCACAACTGAAGTGCATTCAACACGAGTCACACAATTCGCAAGCAAACAGAAACTACAAAAACTATAAAAGTCGATCCTTAGCAGCTGCAGCCACAAAAACATTCCCTATCAAGTCGAGAAATCAGCGCAGCTGAACGAACAAGGAGCAGCGGCCAGACTCACTTTGAGGCCACAAAGGAAATAGAACACATAAGTTGTGTAATTTGTTGCATAAGTTCTTCTGCTTCTTTCTAGTGTCTCTGGGCTCGGCCTGGGTTAGCCTTTGGAAATGGGACACAGCGGGAAGCGGTGCTATCTTCAAAGAGGTCACTTTTCATGCTGATTTTTTCCCAGCGCACCATTTTTTTGCGTGACTTTTACTTTGCCAGGCATTTTCATTTTATGCTCCGTTATGGAAATCATTGCCTGGCCCATAGATCAAATATGTTTGTTTATTTTTATGACACATTTGGGGCGCTTTTAATGGCCCAGATACCACTTGGGCACGGCTTGCAAGAGAGTTGCGAGTTGCGAGTGGCGAGCTGTGAGAAAGGGGCAAATGACCGCATTATAAAAGTTGGCAAAACGCTTCACGGTTTGTTTTGCTTTGACTTATTTTGCTTATGGCTATTTTTAATTGGATTTTGATAGTTGGCAGTTGTAAATTCACAGCACGATCTTCGAGATTTTTATTTTCGTTTATTTGTGTATTTTATGCAGCAGCGTGTTGCTTGCTCGAAATCTCTCCAAATCTTTGGCTTGTCAAAACATTCTATAGTTTTGTATTTCTATTATTTTTTTTTTGTTATGCCCCTGTTTATATGTGTGGTAGCAGCAGAGATTTGTATCTTTTGCAGCTCATTTGATGCATTTCAATGACTCCTCTCACACCTATCGCACACCTGCACAAATACACAAAAAGACAGCAACAATCAAATCGAAAAAGAAAAAGAAAAAGAGGCCCGCGTTCTTTTGACAAATTTCAGCATTTTCTCACGTACGCTGATGACACGAAAAACATTTGTACAAATATATGCAAATTGCTGTAACGAAATCAGTAAGCTGGCCAACTGAGACCTGAACCTGGAGCGGTGGGCAGAGATCTCTAAAAATGGCCGCAGGCTACTCCCGTATAATGTTTATTGTGGCGTCATGTTGTGAACTCAACAAATCCACTCTTCAATCAGACTCGCAAAAAAAACAACAAAAATCAAGTGGCTTCAAATTGAGGCTTAATTAATGGCTATTTATGGAAGACGACGGAGGCAGTGCCGAGTGCTTGGATCATTAAGCTGTATTCACCGTTAATCCCTAGGATTGGCACTGGTGACCTTGCCATATTGGAATACATTCCTCAAACCAAATATAAACGCAACAAATTTCACAATGTTTGAAATCCGCATTGCCGCATTGCCACATTGCCGCATTGCTGCAGCTATATTTCATATCGGTGTATTAGCCAGTTGTTGCCATAAGTTCCTCTAACTTTGGTCAACATGCACAAATCTCAGCACAACCAAAGATGCACCAGCAACAACAACAACAACAACAATGAAGAGTTATTGTTGTTGGCATTTTTGACCATTTTTGGTCATTGAAATAAAAATGACATCTTTTGCTCTCACAAACACAAGCACAAGCACACAAAACACGTCAAACTCTTTTTGGAAATGGTCCAGCAGCAAGGCAACAAGCACAACCACAACCACAACCACATTGCCATAAATCTTCACGGCTTGGTTTTGCCTGTTTGCCTGTTTGCCAGTTGGCCAACCTGACTTGGTCTGAATGCGTTTTGCGGACGCTGCTTTATGGGCAGTGCGTGACCGCACTTGGCTCTGCTGCTGCTGCTGCTGCTGCTGCTGCTCCAACTTATGTGGGCTCAAGGAACTTGAAATTGTCACATTGTCGGGCTGGCAACTGGCTAACTGGCTGACTAACTGGCTGACTGCCTAACGGTGGAGCCAAGTTGCTGGCTCTCGCTATCTCAGTTGCCAGTTGTCTCAGTTTTAGCCACTGTCCGCTGGGATTTATTTTTGGTCAGGCCGACAATGAGTCTTAAATATTTATGCGCTTTTTCTCTTTGGCCACACTTAGAGATAGAGACAGAAACAGAGAGAGAGAGAGAGAGAGTGAATACTGTGCAATTGGCTTGTAAACATTTATCAACTAGTTTGTTTTGCAGTTGTAGACAAATTATTATCCTAAGGCCAGCTTTTGAACGCCCTTGTTTTTGAAAATCGTTTGAGTTATGGGAAAGTTATGGCAGAGGAAAGTTTAAAGATAAAAACGTGCTTGCAACTTTAAATTATTCTAGAGTTTGTGGCAGTTGAACATTTAGACTGTAGCCAACATGGCATTTTTTGGGTTGCAGTATTTTAACTGAATTTCGAGCTCAATTTTTGAATGTAGTATTATTCTAGAGATCAAACCATGATCAAAATCAAGTCCATGTCTAGAGTTCTAAGAGGGTATTTAGGATTCGATTCACTCAAAGTGCAGGCAGTGCTCAACTTATCGGGCTGGCTGCAAATAGATTTGTTTGTAGAACGTGGGCTGGCAACGAGAGGCAAGAGTCGCGACACTTGCCGCACTTGGTGGCAGCCCAACAGTTGCGCAACAATGTGCCACAGACATTTCCGTTCTCAATTGAGTTCGGGGCATGCAGCTGATAATCATGTGGCGTATGGCATGCAGATCGTTAGACACTTTTGTGGGCATATCTCATAAAAGGCATAAAAGGCACTTCAGAAATTGCTGTTAGCTCGTTTCCACCTGTTTGCAGCACCCAATAAAAGAGCAAATGAGTTTTTATTCCCCCTTCCTCCGTCAAGTGTTTAACTTTTGTTGGATGCAGTGCATCATGTGTAGAAACTTTTTGACGCTTTCAAGTGGAGGCTTTTCAATTTGGAGTTTCCACAAGTCAAATCAATATAAGCTCAACCACAGACACGTCAAATTGAACAAAAAGCGGCATTTAATTTTTACAGCTACCACTTCAAGAGCTAAACCTCTCCCCCAACCCATAAACAAAAAGAAAAACAGCTATAGCTTTATGGCCAGCGGTGTTTGTTTGTCGTGGTCTCCTCTCCATAGAAAGGTTTCACCAGAGACGCAATCTTGCAGTCTGCCAGTGGCAACGAGCCCGTTGCAATTTGCAGTTGCAGCTCTTTGAATTGGACAGACAAGAAATCAAATGCTTGGATACAATGTCTTGAGGGAGGGGGATTAGAGGTGGTTGGGTGGGGAGATAGAGGGGGGCAGGGTAGGGTAGAGCGACGATTGTTTCTCCGCTGGCGCAGCATTTATTTGAATTTGAATTTATGGTTTCACTTGCCTCCATGAAGATTGATAGCTGCCGATAATGCGAGGAAATGTTTACGACTCTGTAATTTGGGCTCTATTTTATTTGATTTGCGTTTGGCTGTTTGGCGTTTTGCGTTTTGCGCCAAGTGCGAACGAAAGCGAAAGCGAGTCCGAAGAGACGACCCAAAACCAAAACCAAACTCAAAAACGCCCATCGTCTGTCAAAAAAAATTTGAAGAAAAAAATCCAATATTCACAGATGGCAAAGTTCAAAGCTGAAACACACCGATTGCATGTGGTGCTAATGATAATGGACAATTATGGATGCAATGGATGCTTATGCAATGGCCAAATGCGAAGGAGGATTGCCAAATGAAATTGAAAGGCCCGATCAAAGCAATGATCTGCGGAGTAGGTCAAATGTATGCTATGTGATTAGATGAGCTATGGACTATGTTTATAGTCAACTAAAATTGAGTTATCTGCTCAAGCACTAAAATGATTCTATGTTAAAAAGAAAGGAAAGAAAATAAGAAAGAAGATAAACGATTTCCTTGAGCGTTTTCAACTAATGTCAGCTATTTTAGCCAAAGTGCAAATTATTCATTTCCTTTAATTATGGACATCGATTTTTCAAATCGAACAGATGAGATATGCTGAAGATGATGACGAAGAAGCTGAAGTAGCAGATGTGGTGGTAGTTACTAAAATGCAAATAAAACGCATGTCCAGCTGACAAATTGGCAAATTACGAGCCATATGCAAAAGACAGGCCAAAAAGGAAACCCGTTGCACATGCAACAACAAAATAAACAGATACAGCTGGACAGCAGCAGCAGCAGCAGCAGCAGCAGCAGCATCAGCCCCAGATGGAGTCTCTCAGCTCAGTGGCAAAGCAATGTGGCCTCAACACGGCTCTTATTAATTGCACAATTACGACACGCAATTGACGTGCAGACTGAACGATGGCCGGGCGTAATGATGGAAAACCTGCCGGAGTCGAGAAATTGCTTTCTTTCACTTTCCAGACGGATATCATAATTCACAAACAAAAAATGCAGTAGCTGCCGACCAAAAGCCAAAAATAAATCAGCCAGACGATGTCATTACAACAAAAAAAAACACAAATCAGAGTGTTGTAGTCGAGTGAGCTCGACTACGATATACCCTGAACCAATTCTCAAATTTCCCTTTAAAAGTTTGTTGATGAAATTTGAGCAGTTGATCAAAAGAACTTCAATGCAAATTAATGGAGGCCGCTGACTTTAAAATGGTGACTTTTATTGCAAACGGAAAGCGATATAAATCAGAGATATATAGTTCTTATAGTCTCTGAGATCCGCTCGGCTGAATATACATACATATATAACTTAAGGGATCGGAGATGCTTTCTTTTGCCTGTTACATCCGCTTACAAAATCATTATACCCTTTATACCCAATGGGTTCAGGGTATACGAAATAACATAATTCAAAAGCAAAATGAAATCAATTAAGAGCAGCACGATAAGGCGGAGCATTTTGGAGTTAAGACCCTTCAGGAAATGCCGACGAAGCGTTAAATTAAAAAATCAGAAACCCAACAAAAAAGAAAAAAGACAACAAAAAACTCACCTTATTCGTGGATAAATGCCACGATCTGCGTGCACCACGACCCTGACTGGAGGAGATGGAGGAGCCTGTTGAGGATGTGGATTGGGTCTCCGCACCAGATGTACTGATGATGGAGCCATTCTCATAGATCTCAGTCGAGCAAATGGAGCTGTTCAAAGTGGCGGTGCTAGCTGCCAGCGATGGTACCGGCGAACTGGCCGGCGATGGTGAAAAGCAGCCCGAATCGTACGAGTTCAAGATGCGTAACCGGTTGCCGGGGCATAGACCCTATTGAAAAAATAAATAGAGCAAAAGATTTAATAAGTGAAAAACAAGGAAAACAAAAACAATATTCAGCAATTATAATTGCAATCTATTAAATGGAATTCATGGCTGTTGCCCATTGAGTTCAATTGAATTTGATTGCTTTTTAATTAACTCTGAATGCTGAATGCATTTTTAATAAATACATCAAATATATATAAAATATAATACATAATACATATACAGTAATAAATGACAATTTTTTAATTGCCCGTCATTCTCGCTTAAAAATGAATGCAATTTTTCATTGACAGTTTTTGGTTTTTGCTCAGCTCTTTTGTCTATTTCTTGACATTTGTGTGAGACTTTTCAAAATGTGTTCGAAATGTTCCCATTACCACAAAAACCAAAGTGAAATATGTTGTCAACATGTGTTTCAACTCTTTAGCTGCTGCTGTTGCTGCTGCTGCTGTTGCTGCTCATTTCAATTTAATTTTAGGCCGTCAACAACAAAAATTGCAAGCGGTTTTTTCCGTAATTTTTTATTTTTTAGCAAGTGCCGAATAATTTATGCTACAATTTTGTCCACATTTTTGTTGGTTATTTTTTTTATTTAATATTTATGTGCTGTTGTCGCCACTCAATTGGCTACTATTATTTTTTTTTTTTTGTTATTTTGTGGGTTAATTGTTTCCATTAAAAAGTGCGGCTACTTTTTAATTAACGGCAATTGGCCGACATAGTATCTAAGTATCTATGTATGTATCTCTATCTATGTATGGCAATTTTGATTTCAATTTTGATATGTGTTTTGACACCATACAGCAGACACCATAAATTGCCATGAGTGTATTCACGAGTGCTTGTGAGTGCCTCTGAGCCAGCCAATTGAGCTGTTAATTAAAAATATGTTTCGTAGCGGCAAATTTTGTAGACGTGCAGAAATGTTTTCGAGCTGTGCCGTTAATCAGTTTTTAATTTGGCAACTGGGTGTGTTTATGGCCACATCGAAACTGATCTTGCCTTCCCACTAAGTATATCTCTATGTAGTTGTTTATTGTCTAATCGGAGCAGAGCTTCAAGGTTGCAACACGTTGAACTTTAGACGTGTATTCAATCAGAGAGCTTAGATCACTAAACAAACACCATAAGAAATGCTGTTCTAGCAGATATTAGGAAATTCTATATTGCGGAACATGATTTTAAATGATCAGAAATATGAGAAATTGAGCAAAAGAATCTGGAGAATATAAATCTATTGTGCGCCGTTCAAATTGATTGTGTATTCAACGCATGATTTTGGCCACATTTTACAACTCAGTCAACAAACTTGGCCGGCAATTTCCATGCATTTTCTGACCAATTATTGCGCTGCTGTTGTATAAACTTAACAAGCTGTGAAACATTTCCACTTTGTATGCAATCACACTAACAATATCGACCTCCTTTTTGTTTCCCCACATTTCACACCCCAGTGGCATTATGATGGACATAGGCCAGAGACCATGTCCAAAAATGATGTTATATGCAGTGCGGTGCTGCGGTAATCGCTTGTAATAATGCTCGCGAAGGCATTATGAAGATTATTATTACAGCTGCAGACACAATTAAAGTGCCAAATGTGAAATTTATGTGCAACCAAAACCAAAAAGGGGGGCCTTCCCGCATCTAGCGACGGGTGAATGATGTCGTTTGAACGAACGTTCAACGGGTGGCAGCCACGTGCCTGGAGACGATGATGTTGCTGCTGGTTATGATTCACATGGCTCATAACGAGAACGTGGCTCCGTTGAGACCACACACTCCATTTGTATGTGCAGTTGGTTAACTACAAAATTAAATTATAAATTCAAATTGAGTTTTTTTATTTCGTGTGCGAAATGATTTGCTGGAGAACTTATGCAAATGCCTCAATTGGTTAATTACCAATGCAGTGCTGAAATGGGCGTGGCTAGAAACCCATTTGGCAATTAGTAGAAGAAACTTAAGGGGAAGAAGCACAGAAACAGCACAAAAAGCAAATACACAGCTCAAGAAGAGAAGGCGTTGCCCCTTGGGCATTTAATGGACTGGAACTCTTCTCAGTTTTGTATCTAGAATATAGATTCGAAGAGACTTGACTCACCTGCCGATTGCGTAGCGAACAGAACCACCAGCCCTCGATGCCTTCGGTGTCCTGTTCGATGACGGTGAGGACGTCGCCCTTCTTGAAGGGCAGCTCATCGGGCGTATCCGCATAATTATCATAAATGGCTCGGGCATAAAGTTTCTGCAATTACAAAGAATAAAAAATAAGAACAATTCAAATTGTGTGCTTTATCTGAATGAAACAGTTCCTAAACATTTCGATTTATAATAACCATAATGAACAACTACATGCGAAAAAACTTCTAAGAGGCCGCAAACAGTAAAATCGAGAGAACAACTAAAACGAGTCCAATTTCAAAGGAATTTCAAAGACGTGGTGGTGTTTGACCGACCCCGACTTTGACTTTAGCATTCACTGCGACTCCAATTCAATCTTGGACTGGGCCAAAAACATCATTTATAAGAATTCGTCTGCGCTCATTTTCAGGTAGCATATTTGCCAAAAATTTGGCAAACATAAATCGCAGCACAACAAAAAACAAAAAGTGGAAAAAAACTGCACAAAGTGCAAAAAACGATTTATGTTTTTTTCTTTTTTGGGCAAAATGAAAAACAAAGCGAGTTCTTTTATTGTATTTTGTTTTGTCTTGCGCTTCATTAGTTTAGCTGGAATTTCAGGTCAACTGCGGTTGTTAGAGCCAAACAACAGCAGACACTTTGGGTAGCCAAAAGAGAAACACATACACTTTAATTAAATGACGGCATATTTGAGTAATCAAGCTGATTGAAATTCATATCAATTTTGTTGTTGCATTCCTAGCACTTAAAAGATCATTTACTGCACTAGAGCACAACAGTTTAGCGGCACTGCATTGTTGCAGCTCCCCTTCACCACCCCCCCTGAACAGAGTACCATAATCATCAACTTCATACCATTCATACGCATTTAAACGCTGCAAGTTGCCTTTTATCGCTCCGTCTCTAAATCACTGCGCACGACTGTCCCTTTGTACTTACTCCATTTATGTATGTGTGTGTGTGTCTGTGTGTGTGTATCTGTGTGTGTCTGTATCTGTGGAGTGTGTGCAAAGGTTTCTTCAATGAATGGGGCTGATATATCCATGTGCTTATCTGTCCCTCTGTGTGTCTGTGTGTGCCTCGGTCTCAGTTTGAGTCTCGGGTTAAGCGTGTTGCTTTTAATTTCGCCACCGCATCGAACAGAAAATCCAAAACGAACGTTTTGAACTCAAACCCAAAGCCGACAGTTTTGTCGTTGTTGTATTTTTTCAAGGACGTAGCCAAAATATTAGTTAGAGGGGATCAAAAAACCCAAAACCTTCGACTTAAGAGCTCCTTTATATACAAGACTCTTAATTAAGTGCAGAAATTTGCAATAAATCAATTTTTTAGGTTTTGAACAACTTTCATGAATCTTTCTTCACTCCAGTTATGCATCTTATAGATAATAATAGGTTCTTCTTAGGGTCTTAACATCATTCAAGAAATATTCCTAATCCAATAAATAGTTACGATAAAATCTACATAGGAATAATGTAATGGATTTAGATGTTGAACTTTAGTTGTTGTAAAGAACTTCTTAGTTACTGTAAAAGATAAATTCAACCAAGTGCTGGAGGCTAAGCCACTGCTCATCTTGGCCCCTTTTTGTAGACGTCTACGTCCATGGTTGCCGTTGCCGTTGCCGTTGCCGTGACTGCCACGCTTGGCAGTCTGCTGAGTACTACACTAGTACAACTTGTACCTGCCCCCATCCCTGCCTCAACTGGCTCATTTAATATGAGCTGCGCATATCGCATAGAGACACACACACACACAACAACACACACACACACACTCAAGCAGAGAAAACTCAGCGATTACAATATCGCACGATGAATCGCCGTTGAACTTTCAACTCGCTGGTTTTGGGTTGAAACCCGTTTCGGCAACAACAAAAAAAAACCACTACAACAATAACAACAACAGTTATGATCAGGGGTCTTGGATATTGTATTCTACTTTTCAATTTGGAAAGCTGAAACCGTTCAGATTGTCAAAAGAAAACGAGCGCACTTGAAGTTCATGTGCAACGAGCAATTCATGTGGCATCCACATAACTGCCAATGACACTCGAACGTTGCGTTGCTCAAACAACAACAACCGACAACCGACAACCAAACAATCAACAAACAACAATCGACAATCGACAACCTCCAATCGACAACCACAAAATGTGAGGCTGATCTCAAGAAATGTTTGTCAATTTGCCTGCGACAAACGTAATCGATGTGAGCGAGAAGAGATCGAACAGAGATCGAGTCAGATAGAGTGAGATAGAGCATTGTTGGAGATTGCTCTCCAACTGTCCAGAGTTGTCATGTGCTTTTAGTTTACTTAGCTTTCTTCTTCAAGCTGAATTTTTAACACGACGCTAATTGAATAGACAAATATGTACTTAAAACCGAGAAGGGGGTCTTAAATTCCAGTTCCGTTTGTGGGTCTGTGATTTTAGTTGTTGTTGTTGCTGTTGTCGTCACAAGCAAATAAAAATCAAATTTCGATGGATTGTTGTTTGTTTTGAGGGTCTTTAATTGGTTTGTTTAGCGCATTTCTTGTCGCGCTTTATTGTTAGTCCAAGGAACTTGAAAATGGAAGTGAAAAATGTGAGAAATAGCTGTTAAAATATTGGAAAGATTCGTTGAAGAGTTCTCTAAATGCTTCTCATTTTGTTGAGCTGTGGAAATCTGTGGAAAAGTTGTTCAACTGCAAATTCGAACGCAGACTCATATTCAATTCACTTAACATTTGTGGATTTATGCCTTATAAATTGCATTTTACAAATTATGCAAAATGCTGACAATAAATCAGTCGAGAAATTTAATAAAAGTAATTTCGGCCTTTGGGCCATTTAACGTTTCCTTTCCGATCGATGGGCGCGCTTTAAACTCAAAGTGAAAGAGCTCCACAGATTTATTGTTGTTTTTTAAAGGCGAGCGCGTTGCAAACAACTACAATGAGCATATATCTATAAGCAACAAGACTCGTTCCACATAACTTGCATATACGCAGATTTTTGGCATAAAAATACAGCCCAAAAAGCAGCACACATGAAAGCAACAAAAGTTTTTTTTCTCGAGTATGTTGTTTTATGATTTTTTCTTTATTTCAGCTTGGCTGGTTACGATTTTGTTTTTTTTTTTTGGAGGTTGTTCACCATTTGGCCATAAAGAGTAGAGACAGTTAATTTTGTTGTGGGGGGAGGTGTGCTCGGTAGAAAGCAAAGTTGGACTTAAGAGCCCAGCACAAATGTTGGCCAATTTACGATCTCCACGGCGAGTGCATGACCTTACCTTACCAAACTCAATTCGTTCGGCTTCGTTTTGCAATTTTTTAAGCACATTCACAAAGCTCGTAAATAACAAAATCCACCAACATAGACAAGTGCCAAACTACCAAAACCAAAAAAAAATAAAATAAAATAAATAAAAAATGAAAAGAATAACAAACAACAGCAAACAACAAATGCCGCAGGCGATAAAGTCTTAATGAGCACTTAAAGCCCAAAAAAAATGATTGTGTGTAAAAATAAAAATTGGCAAAAAGTTTGTCAAAAATTTACACAAGATCTGATGAGTTTTAAGACGCTGCTTGACTTGATAATTTGACATTGAGGAGCCGCTTAACCGCATTAAGCCAAACTGAAAACGATGAAATGCCAAAAACACACACAAATAAATACTTGAACAAACTGTTAACTCTTAACAATTAACAGTCAAGAGAATTCTACAGGGCATATTCCTTTTAGTCAATAACACTTACATTGATAACCTGTCCTCGTACAGATAAGAATAATATATATATATATATATATATTTAAAAATTGTATTTATTTTTGAGGGTTCGCGTGACTGATAAAGTTTTGTGGTTTTGCTTTTGGCTGCTTTTTAATTAATCCAATTTGTGGCCCACTATCAATGGAGGTGCGGCAGCTTAATATGATTTTTGGTTTTGTTCGGTTTTTGTTGTTGCTTTCTTTAAACTTTGGGCTTCATTAGCTGCAAACATTTTTGGTGAGTAGACGCTATTTATTTTTGGATAAGCAACGCGTCATATTTTGTTTTTTGGACTTTTGCTTAACCTTTGGATATTGGCATTGACTAAGTGAAATTCGGCTGATTAAATATAACCTGGGTTTTTTGCACCGTTTGTAGGTTCTGTGGCAATACCATTTTAAGAAGAGATATGCGAATTGCCTTATGCCAAATATTTGAACTGCATAAAGTCATATACATATATATATAAAATAAATTTTGTATTTAGCCCACTTGTGTTGGCAATATAAAACGCCATATGTTGCGTTGAACTGGTTTTATTGTGGCTGTATTTGTGTTTGTTGTTGGCAAAAATAAACAAAATGTTTACTGGCTGACAGCTTCGGCCATTTCGGCACATTTCGTCAAGCCGTGTGCAAAAAAAAATGTGACAATAAAACTTTAAAGCGGGCAAAAGAGAGAAACACGTTCCGACTGCCCAGCAAAATCAGTCGGAGCAGCTGGCCAACTGTTAAACTTGACGTTAAAATGCGTTGACAAGTGCACAAAATCCAATTCAGATGCCATTTAACCCCCTACCTCCCACACACCCCTGATATATCAGATTCACTGAGCTGTAAGCGAGTCAATGAAAGTGCAACTGATACTCAGTCTCCGATGCAACATCCCCCCCACACACACACACTGGGGAAACATGTCAACAACAATGAATAGTCAGAGAGTGCACAATGAGTGTGTGCTTTGAATAGCTGCAAGTGTCTTGGCTGATTCACTTATCTTTTGAATCAACTTTAATGGATTTGACTCAAGCTTAATCTGCTGTAGGCTGTGGCATGCCTCAGTCAAGCTGACCCTCGCGAGTTGGGTGCTAAATTGAACTAATCTAAGACATACTCCGATTTTTCACAATAAAGGTTAATATTAAAAGCGTAGCTAAATGGGCTATAAACTGTTCTCAGAAAATGACCACAGTTAAATTGAGTTTTTTCCAAGTTTAATAGATCGTCCCTGATTGTTATTTAATACTGGTTTCAGCTAATGTTCGTGGAATAATAATTTTTTTTATACCCAAGTGCGCTTGAAATAAATTAACTTTGATGTTGGCAAAACGCGGCTCTCGTTTCTAAGG